CCAGAATGATTACAACTTTCATCACGATTTCTCGGAACCACTACGAACGACGCGGCTGGCAAAGGGATGGGATAAGGGGTACATGAGCCAATGTGCTCTACTCTGCACGGAAAGATTTTCGACATATCCAAACAACAGAACTGCTTCTTCTTAACGATCACCTATACTGATCTTTAGCCTCACATTAGTTAACAGTGTTAACAATCCATTTGCAAACCTCAATTCAATGAATAAATGAAATCATCTCGGAGCAAAGGCAACGTAATGAACAACTAACCAATTTTTGTCGTCAATTGATATGGTTTATATTTTATGTCGAAATATTTAACAAAATAAAACAACGATGCAGTTATTACTAGAAACGTTATCACTCTTCTCAGCCACTTGATAATATTTTCGAACTTCCTCCCGAGATTTCGTGTTGCTATCAAATCAACCAATTACGCAAATAATCACAACAATTATTTCAAATAAATGAACAACAAAAATAATCAGCTTACAGAAATTGAATTCATCCGAATCGTTAAGCATCGCAACACAATGAAGTGCATAAATCGCATTAAAGAAATTATAATTTCCAGTCATCATTATTAATAACATTAGTATAACCTTCAATGCATTTATTAGCATATTTCTCCGGTCATTACAGAAACAATGAATCAATAATAAAGAAAAACAGGATAATGATTTTTGCATTGGATTTAAAAGATACACGACAAAAACAATTACATATCAACTAATATGGTAACATCGATGGAAACGATTACTAGTAAGGATAATTGAACTTAAAATAATAATTAATAAACGAAAATTTACCTGTGGATAGAAGGCAAATGTCCGTAAAGCTTTGAAAGGCACCAAAAACAATGGTGGTAAAATCATTTCAATATAGAACGTGGCGGCAACAGATAATCTTCTTAACCATTCGGGTGAATGATGCGCATAATATGCTATCCAAGTTGGTAGGCACTGACTTTCAAAGTGTATGTTCAATGCTACAATCATAATCATAAACAGCAACCTGAACGAATGAAACAGTAATAACAACAAACCAGTTAGACTCCACCACGCAGGACACTGACTCGTCAACTTGACAACCCCAGATGCATACATCAAACGAAAAACAAGCCATCGAATCAAGAAGATCGATATGTTATCTGTTGACGATGATGAACCAATCAAAGGCATTCGTGCCAATAAACAACACAGTGCTCCCGCTTCAAGCAATAGTGTATCCCATTGGAACCATAGAAATGTATCACCAACCTCAAATTTTTTATTATAACAATAATAATAATACAATGGCAATGACAATGATAACAATAACTGTTATGATAAAAATAAAATAATAGTTGACACATTAAATGAAATTAACCTGAAAAGCAGAAGAATGTATTAAGAATAACAAGAAATAAACGATAGCGTTTCGGAACGTATCAAATAATATCGATAAACTCGCTAATAAAATGCCAAAAATGACAGCTATTTGAAGTGCATAGGATGGAGCAACTCGAAATCTATTTATTATGAATGGTAATATTGTCAACTCAGTACGAGTTGCCTTACATGATTTTTCATCTGCAAAATAATAATGAAGAGCAGTAATAAGAGAGCATAAACACTCAACAGTGATAATAACAATTAAAACAGGTCATAAAAAACGGATAACTTAACGAGCTCAGGGTGTTTAAAATGACTATGAAAATAATAATAATCGCATTAATAACAAACAAATTCTCAACGAAACATTTCAAACATTACCACAATTTAGCTTCGATGCAATTGGTAAAAGACCATTCTCTCCATACAGTCCTATAAATAAAAGCCTTCAAAAAATTAATATTACAATGAGAAAATTCATCTCCGCGTTTGATTCTAGGCTACTTCTTAACCATAAACTTTGTTTCAAATGCTATGTAAAGGAGCAATTTGATCAGCCATTTTTTTTTTGCTTTGATAAGAGCAACTTCTAGCCATTTCGAATCATTATCTAAGAAATCTAGAATGAAAAAAGGTACAAAAATCCCAGAAAGATATAAAAAATAAAACCCAAAAAATTTTTAATCCATCTTTCCGTTAATTTCTATTACCAAATTACAACCTGGTATTTGCCAATAGAGTGATGTGAAAGCAACCAAATACACAAACGAATGTCCAACCAAAAGGATCTTTTTCACTTGTTCGGTTTTCATCATTCACAGGTTCTTTTGTTCCGTTCGAATTCCCTCAATCCCACAGAACAATTATTTCAATAACAGATTAAGCGTTATCTATAAGAACAACAACAGAGTATGCATGCCTTCACAATAACAAACGCGATTAAGAAAAGTTTCAGACAACCTAGCTGATGTGGAGGCTACATCACCAGGTGACGATAATCAGAACCGGATATCTCAAATATGTTTTGACTGCTGGTAAATCTATGCATCATGTTTTATTCTCCTGGACCAGCGCTACAAAATAAAATATAATTTGCCCAGATCTATTCCCGTTAAATGGGTAAGAAATTCACATTTCTGAACACTTGTCAAATGAAAATCCGAATTTCGTCATTTGACGAAATGTCACTACATTCACTCGAGTTCGCTGAGTTGCCACTAGGGTTTGTAAAATCCCGACGTTTATCAATCGCGGGATTGATTTTCGATCCCGGGATCGAACAATTTTTGAAATATCGATGCGGGACATGTTTAAACATCTTTTTTCGGACCAATCTGTATATTATTAATCAAAGAGTTATTTCAACAAATTAGTGAAAAATCCAAGGAACTAAATATTCAAATTCAAATTAGTATTTCATATAATGATGCCAATGATCATGCCGCAAGGGCATACTGCATATTCTATGCTAAGGCATCTTGTCATCTCGGGTGTAAGCTAATAACAGTACACTTGTATGTGAATATGAAATTCTTGATTCGCAAACACTTATTTACAATGCTTCAAGTCCATTTT